GGTTTTTATTCACTCGTTGTAAAGAATCAAACTCACTCGCTCAAAGACTCGCTCGTTCGTTTGATTCTTCACAACTCGTGAATAAAAACCGTACGCGCTCACTAACCATCTATATGCAACTTGCCTTTTTTTCGTTCAGTTATGAGTATATTTGATTGGCGAATAACCTCTTGTACTTTGACTATGTCAGCATTTGTATCATTCTGTGGTAGCAAACACTCTTTGGGTCCAAGCTGAACAAGAAATGCCTGAAATTCCAATTCAATCAAGTTAGCCATGCCCTTACTTTCATCTACTCAGAGGGTTTTAATTGATGTTTGCTTTGGTTTGATATCATTGAGTTGCAAGTATGAACAAAATCTTAGATTATTAGTGAGAAAACAAAATAATGCAAACCTTTCATAGGTCTTAGTGACATTAGCAACAGAACACAGTCATTCAAAAGTTACCTGTAAATTAGAGAAYTGATCATTGTCTAAAAACTGAGATAAGCCAAGTTTTCTTCCTGCATTGTCAGCATAAGATGCACCAATGATCTGACCATTCAAATACAAGAACATYAAAATTAATCAATATTCATTGTATTTACTACTAAAAAAATACCAGCATAATAATTATCATAATTATACAGCTTCTCATTAATCCCATTATTCCCATTGGCAACTGTCCAATTATTTTCTTAATTGGACAGGTCTTGTTGATATTATTTATATTATATTATTACTAGTATTTCAAGAGATGCATTTACGGGGTTAATTAGGCAGCTATATAATTAATAGGTAATGGGATTTCATGCTCCCCAATCAAGAAATAATTAGACTCAAAAAATTCCTCTTACTGCCAAATTGGACTCAGCCTATGGCTTCATCCAATTTTGTCAGTCCTCAGAATTTTCCTCGTCCAATTATTTTATTAATTGGACAGCATGGAGYYCTATTACATATACAAAGACCTCCAACTTACCCTTTGTCCATTGTCATTCCCAAGCTTAATCGCCATGACAACTGCTGATGCTGACATCTCTGTATTTCCAAACAAGATGTCATCAAACTGATGTAGATTTCCTGGTGATGCCTATGAAAATAATAATACACAAAAAAATATGCAATAATAATAATGAGGAGRAGGATGATATAACAAATGCTTAATCGTAATTAGGTACACTTTATTAAATATTTACTGTGTCAACATAACCACCTTAGCAACAATTTCCCACACATTTGCATTTTTGCCACCTTTACTTCTATAAAGCTCAACTCTATACTGGCGTACAAGAAGCAGATCTCTCAACATGGATTCAAAGTTCATTTTACTCAGAACAACAGATGGAACCTTCTTGTCACCTGTGAAAATGATCAGAATTATTGATAAAGTGATAATAAATGAAATTCACTAATACTAATTATAATAAAATATAGATAAATTTAGCAAATCAATGTCCCCTTTCTATGGTCTGTACTCTTTTCAAACATGGAATGGCCTCAGCATATCATCCAAACTCAAGTGAAACTGCAAAGTTTGCATCATAATATGCTGACGCCATTCCATATTAAATTCTGATAAGAGTACAGGCCATAGAAAAGGGACCCCAAAAAATTCAAAAACTTTTTGTCTGTCTTCTTAATATTAATCATWAAAAAAAAGAGGAAAATTGAGAAATTAACAATTGGTGGTAAAACTTGATTGATTGGTAAATATTGATTATGATTCACCTCCAAGGTGTTTGATAACACTTGTTGTCTTGTAAACCTCTTTTGCTGCAAATAAAGCATCAGTGCCATGTACAGTGTAAAAATCCTGTGAAAAGTAAATACATGTAAAATAAAACAAAATAAAGTTTTTGTCTAACTGAACCTTGCTCCCCTCCCCCAACCCAATCCCCCTGACCTTTCATACCCTTCATATTTCATCATATTTACTATGTTGTAAATCACCTCATCTAAAGGTGACAGGGGTCCTAGAGAAATAAATTTGTAACTGGTGTTATATATGAGATAGGATATAGCTATAGTGGTGATTTGAAATTGGGTCATTGGGAATAGGAATTAGACTAGCAAAAATGTGAATAATATCAATTTTCATTACACAATTTGGGTCAATATCAGTATGATAAAGCCGTGAATAAAAACCATATCAATGAAGTATTACAATTTATTATATAGATATTGATGAAATATCAGGATTTATTATATCCATTTTGAAATCACAAGCAAATCCTGCAATCTGATTGGTTCCCTGCAGCAGTGTTTTCAGTCTAAATTGCACCATTTTGAGTTCTAAATTGCAGGATAGCTGATAGTTCTGGTATGAACCAATCACAAGAGAGACATGTCATTTTCTAGCCAATTATATTAAGGAATCCAATTGAGTGTTGAGCTCACTGCTTCTTGTGAAAAAAAACAGCCACGGCTCAAAAACATTTTTTCTGAAGAACGATTTTACCRTAAAAAGTTGTAAAAAAAGACTTAAAAAGACCAACTGAGCACTTAAAATTGTCAAAAGCATCTTTGTAAAGTAACTGCTTAAGAAAGTTGAAGATATTACAGTGAAAAGCAGTGGGGGAAAATGCAATCGGCATCTTTTGAATATGACTTCTTGGCGATTGACCGTGGAAAGTGGTTTCCTTTTCAATCTTTAAAGCATAAAACACATCGAAAATACAGTCATTAAAAGAAGTTTTTCTTAAGGTAGCTGCCTACTTTTGAACGTTCGATTCGAGCCCACGATGTGCCTGTGCTCAAAAACGGCTCAAAAATCTACAATATTTTATGGAAGAACCATGTACATGTTTTGAGCTTCAACAGGGCAAAACCATCAAATTTTGCACGGGACTCTCTATTTTATAATAGCTCATTCGAAAAAACTCCTAAAAATCTGTCATTTCAACATTTTAGGAAAAGTTAAAATCAGCAACACATGAAAAAATATATTTTTGTAGGGATTTTTGTTCGACTTTWTGAGATTTTTTAAGAGCACCAAAATGACAAAATATGACAAATCAATGTATCTCTTTGTCGAAAATATCCATGTATTATTGTAGAATGATTGACTACGGTAGCCTTCATTCGTGGAACCATATAGTCTGCAAATAACTATTATCTTATGAATCTTAATTTTTTTCTAATCATTTCCAGTGGCGCAATTTTTACTCCAAAAGCTTGTGCGTAGGCTTCAATTAAATGCTGATTATCTCAAAAACTAGCTCGGGACACCCTATTTTTCTTTCCAGATTTGGAATCAGCATTAAATTTCAATTCGGAAAATCGAAGTTTTAAAAGAAGTTTAAATCAATTTCCAAAAGAAGATTTTTGCTGAGCTACGTGGCTTCTTAAGGACAACTGAAGGACTAAACAACCTTTGATTTTTGCGGTTTTCTCAGCACAAGTTGATCTTAACWTGTTGAACAGAAATCGTAAAATACAAGCAGTGAGCATTGGCTGTATGGACAACGGCCGGCAGTTCATTACAACCCTTTTGGGCAGGATTGTCTTGCTATTCAATGTACTAAGTAAATGATTCTTAATACATGTAATGCCTTTTGATCCTATATAAATTCATTTTAGTTTTGGATTGAAAGTGTTGGTTTTCAAAATGAGAATCATTGCTCGATCAGTATAAACAAGTTCTCTTGACAGCATGTTTGAATCAACTGCTTGTAGATCGTAAGTCACGTCGGTTTAACTAAAAAAAAA